CTGCCCCGGCCCGGCCCGCCCCGGCCCGGCCCAACCAGGCCCACACTCCCGGGCCGCAGGAATAATAATGAAAACACAATACGTCAGTCTGTGGAATGCAGCTAAAGCAATGTTTAGAGGAAAATTACTGGCTTTAAATGTTTACATCAGAAAAGAAGTAAGGTCTAAAACTAAGAACCAAACTTCCACTTTAATAAACTAGAAAAGGGAAGGGAATCTAGCTCAAAGTAGAAGGAAAGAAATAAAATGGTTCTATTTCAGTGAAATAGAAAACAAACTATAGAGAAAATCAAGGAAAACGAAAGCTGCTTCTTTGAAAGGACTAATAACCTTGGTAAATCTGTAGCTAGACTGATCAGAAAAGCAGAAGGAAGACGCAAATCACCAATACCAGGAAGAAAAGCGGAGATATCATTTTAAATGTAACTCATTAAGATAGAACGTAAAGTACAGTGCACAAAAGCAATGAAATGTTTCAAGAACCTTATGCCAACGCCTCAGTTATATTAGATGAAATAAGTAATTCCTTGAAAGATACAAGTTACCAAATTGGCACAAGAAGAAATAGAAAAATCTGAGTAGTGCTTTATCTATTACAGAAATTGAAGTTGTAATTTTCCCACAAAGAACTCCCCAGGGTGTCACTGGTGAAATGTATCAAAGGTCTAAGGAAGAAATAATGTCGTTACACAAACAACTTCAGAAAATAGATGTGGGGAGACTAATTCACAACTCTTTGAGAGCAATGCTACCATGATATCAAAACAAGACAAGACGTCCTCTCACTTCTAAAGAAAATTGTATAAGATGCCCAGCAATAAAGCAAGAAAAAGGAGCAAAGTCTATACAAACTAGAAAGGCGGAGGTAAAGTCCTTTGATTATCTACATAGAAAATGCTGAAGAATCTAGAAAAAAGCTACTGGAACCAATAAGTGAATTCATCTAGGTTGCTGGATACAAGGTCAATTAACAAAAATCAAATGTATTTCTACACACTTGCAGTGACAACTGGAAAAGGCTTTTAAAAAACCAAGACGGAAATCAAAAAGCGTAAAATATAAAAATTTTTGGTAAGTTAGACCTAATCAAAAAAATTTTAATCTGATCTTCAAAAGACATCATTAAGAAAATTAAAAGGTAAGCCAGGAACTCGCTGCCGGCCTTCGGCTGCTTCATCACCGCTGCCTTCAAAGACCAGAGCAAGTCTCGCGCATCACGCTGAAAAACGTAGAAGACGTCACGTTTTTGAAAGATATGAAAAAAAATATTTTTTCTTTGACGATGGAAATGGTCTCAAGGGAAACAGGAATGTCACTTTAACCCTATCTTGGAACGTTGTACCGAATGCTGGCTGGAACTCTACCTCATGTGACAGGATCAGGACATGTATCTGTCCCATTTCCAGACACATATGAAATAACAAAGTTATTAAATTATTCTGAATTTGAAACAACATATTTTTACACCTAAGGAATTGTAACTCATTTATCTCTTCCCTTGCAGCATCTTCATCTGTTATTTGGTTGTTAATTTCTTTCTTTTTGGTGTAATAATGAACATCAAAAGGCATATTTGAGGGGAAAGGTTAATGTGCTACTTAAACTTAATTTTACAAGCAAAAACAAAGGCCACCAGAGTGGAGTATTACAAGAATAAGACGACCACATAGTAAGGATTTGTAAAATAGTTATATTTGAAGCGTTCCCCGTATTTCCATTATTCTTCATGTAATATGAAGTGAGCACAAAGGGTGGTTAAAACTTTCAGGTGCCTGTGGAGTTATAAGAACTCTATTTATGCTTTGCATTTATGCAAGTTCACACTGGATGTGATTTAGAAGCAGACATCCTCTTTTATATTTTAGGGTATGTCTGAATACTGGAAAAATTAATACAGTTATTGGTGAGAAGCCTGGTTATAGCCAAAATTGATGAGATTTTATTTCATTTGTCTTAGGAATGCCCACAATGCTTGTTTTTCTTACAGGTGACTAGCAACTTTCTCCACTAAAGACTAAATACCACTTTATATGCTATAAATCACTCCAAATCATTTTAAGTCTCTTAAGTCAAAAAATAAAAATAGGTAAGCCCAAGACTAAAAGGAAGTATTTATGGGCTTCCCTGGTGGCGCAGTGGTTGGGAGTCCGCCTGCCGATGCAGGGGACACGGGTTCGTGCCCCGGTCCGGGAAGATCCCACATGCCGCGGAGCGGCTGGGCCCGTGAGCCATGGCCGCTGAGCCTGCGCGTCCGGAGCCTGTGCTCCGCAACGGGAGAGGCCACGACGGTGAGAGGCCCGCGTACCGCAAAAAAAAAAAAAAAGGAAGTATTCATAATAAATATATGTTTGGGGGAATTCCCTGGCGGTGCAGTGGTTAGGACTCAGCGCTCTCACTGCCGAGGGCCCGGGTTCAATCCCTGGTCGGGGAACCAAGATCCCACAAGCCGTGTGGTGCGGCCATAGCTAAATAAAGAAACACGTGTTTGGGAAGAGACCTTGGCCTAGAGCACAGAGGAGACTCCAGAAATCAAGGCGGCAAACCGCCCCACTTCAAATGGGCAAAAGGTGCGAGCAGACACATCGCAGAAAATGACACAGACGCTCAGCATCATCACTCAGCAGGCGGATGCAAATGAGAAGCACGAAGAGGCATCGCTATGTGCCACTGGAGCGGATGAGGGTTTGGAACTGTGACAACACCACATGCTGGTAAGGGTGTGGGCCAGGGGAACCCTGGCAGGGCAGGAGTGTAAAAGTCTACAGTCTCGACGAAGAACTTTTCTGCAATTTCTCATGAAGTTAAAATTCACGTATCTTATAATCCAGCAATTAAATTCCTAGGCATTTACCCAAGTGAAATAAAGAGGCACGTCCAAATAAATACTTTTACGGAAATGCTCATAGCAGTTTTATTCATAACAGCCAAAGCTGGAAACCCAAATTTCCATCAACAGGTGAATGAATAATAAATGATGCTTACGCATACAATGGGACACTACTCACAAAGAAAAAGAGCTATGGAAACACAGAACTACTCAGCTGAGTCTTTAAAACATGCCGAAGTGAAAGACGTTTGGATTACACAGGATTACATGCCATATGAATCCATTTACATGAAGTCCTGGAACAGGCGTAACGAATCCACACTAACAGGAAGTCCTGGAACAGGCGTAACGAATCCACACTAACAGGAAGTGGTTACTTGGGCCTGAGGTGGGATTAACTGGGAAAGGACAAAAGGGAACATTTTGGGGTGACAGAAATGTTATCCTTGATCATGATGATGGTTACACAGGCGTATGGATTTGTCAGAATTCTGTACACTTAAAAAGGTGTTTTACTGTATGGCAACTGGACCTCAACCAAACAAACTTGGTTAAAATGGGCTGGTAATATCTGCTTCTATACCATTTGAAACATCTCCAGTCACGGTGAGTTTTCCAAAAGATGGAGCACTGTATGCTCTTCCTGAATTATTTACCCCCTCAAGGCTTCTAGGGTTGCTGGAGTTTAAGAACTCAAGATATACCCTCATGGGCAATCCATTATCACAGCATTTCAAAACTGGTTTTGTTAATGTTCAGATAAAAGCAATTCAGAGGGAACAACTAACAGTTCTGCTGTGTAAGAAAACTGGCCTGCTTTCGAACAGCCGTACCCAGAGAGGGATCCACCAGTCCTGCCGTTTCCCCAGATTCCCTCCCAGATCATCCTCTGCTCTAGCTGACAAATGTCTACTTATCTCTGTAGACCAGTTTGCTGTCACCTCCTCTGTGAAGCCGTCCCAGTTGCCCCATGCCAAATTAGTCACCTCCTTACCTATGCTCCTGCACAACTGGGAACACACTTCTCTTTCAACACTTAACTCAGCATACCGTGACCTTCCTGCCTCCCCCATCAGACACTGGACGACTTCAGGACAGATAGTGTCTCATTCTTCTCGGTTTCCCAGTATTTAGCACTGGTCCTTTTAGATAATTACATTTTCAAATCAATGACAAAGTGAGTCAGAGAGCAGGGAAAGGGGAAGACGTTGGCTCAATCATGGAATGGCTGAGACGGGAAAAGTCATGTAGCGCACCAGGACTGTGTGCCCTTTGAATGAATCAGAAAGATACACGGATGACTGACTGAGGACAAGCCTCCCCCAGAGCAAGTGGACAGTCATGGACAAGCCGTGAAGGCAAAAACACAAGGGGCACCATCTCACTCTGGCTCCTGCCTGCAAGTGCTGAACGCAGTATGAGCCGAAGACGCCAGCAGGGCCGAGAGGAGGTATTTCCGACAGACCAGCAGATTACACAAAACAGCAACAGCAAAAAGAGCATCCGAAAACATATTTTAAAGAGCAGTATAGAGAGGACAAGCCAAGTACACAAGGACGGGGGTGTGCTTTGTACTGCCTTGCTCTAGACGCCAGGGACACATAAATCTATCAGATACACTCACTGTGCTCCACGAGTTAACACTGTAACAAGGAAAGAGAGAGGATCTGAAACACGATTTTGACGTATCAGAGTAAGCGCAGCAACAGAGGTGAAGGACCACCGAGGAACGGAAGCAGAGGGGTAGCGGGCTGAGCCGAGTCAGCCGGGTGAGGAGAGGGGGCATTCCAACCAGGACAGAGGCAAGGAGGCAGGAGCGGCCTGGGTAAGTGGGGACGTCCAGCAGTTAGTGCTGCCGCAGTGCCAACGGTGCGGCAGGGAGTTAACCGGCGGGAGAAGAGGCCCCAGGAAGCAAAAGGCCTTCGGATGCAGGATGGGGAGATTGGAACTTATCCTAAGGACGACAGGGAACCAATTTGTGGTTTTAGATAAGAAAGGATGTTTCTCCAACTTGCCTTTCTGACAGATCAAAATATGCTAAGGAGGGGCTTCCCTGGTGGCGCAGTGGTTGAGAGTCCGCCTGCCGATGCAGGGGACGCGGCCTCGTGCCCCGGTCCGGGAGGATCCCATATGCCACCGTGCGGCTGGGCCCGTGAGCCATGGCCGCCGAGCCTGCGTGTCCGGAGCCTGTGCTCCGCAACAGGGAGAGGTCACAACAGTGAGAGGCCCGCATACCGCAAAAAAAAAAAAAAAGAAAAAAAGAAAAAAATGCTAAGGAATACTCTTTTAAAGTGATACGATTAGGTACATAATTCTACTTTAGAAGGGATTTAACTCTGGGGTGAATTGTAATTGTGCAATGAAACAGAAGAACCTTCTCCCGAGGCCGAGCTCCTCCCCCCAGGCTGGTCCAGCTCCAAGTCAGCTGTCCAGTCACGTGGCTCTCCCGCGGGCACGTGCTCCCAACGGAGGAGGAAGACAGCGGGCCGGCTGGGCAGCCAAGTGGGAGGTGGCAGCCCACTCCAGAGGCAGCCCTGCCGGCGACTCTGGGAAATGGTGACACGTCCAAAGCCGCATGACTTAGGGCTCGCACCACTCGCTTCGACTATCACTCAGTGAGTTGGAGAATAGTTACAAGTCTGTGTGTTCCCCCTGACCTACATACTTCTCACCCAAATGTATGGGGGTCTGACTCAAGGGGAGTCCCTCTTGGTGAACCTCTTGGCTGCCTTTAAAGTTTGGAGTTGAGGTGAACTCTGTCCTATACTGACTACATTCATAGAGTTTGTCTTCAGCATGAATTTTCTGGTGCTGAAGGAAGTTTGACCTCTGAATAAAGCCTTTCCCACAGTAACTACATACATAGGGCTTCTCTCCAGTGTGAATCACCTGGTGTAGGAGGAGCTTGGAGCTCTGAATGAAGGCTTTCCCACAGTCCTTACACGCAAAGGGCCTGTCCCCAGTGTGGATCTTCTGATGCTCAGTGAGATGGGCTTTCTGGAGAAAAGCTTTCCCACATTCCTTACACTCATACACCCTCTCTCCAGTGTGGATCTTCTGGTGTCGAATAAGGTACGAACTCAGAAAGAACGCTTTCCCGCACTCGTTACATTCGTAGAGCTTCTCTCCAGTGTGGATCCTCTGATGCTGAGTGAAGTTCGAAGTCTGGCTGAAACGCTTCCCGCACTCGTTGCACACATAAGGCCTCTCTCCAGTGTGGATCCTCTGGTGCTGGATGAGCTTCGAGCTCCGGATGAAGGCCTTGCCGCACTCGTTGCACTCGTAGGGCCTCTCCCCGGTGTGGATCCTCTGGTGCTCGATGAGGTCCGAGCGGTGGCGGAAGGCCTTCCTGCACTCCTCACACTCGTACTGCCTCACCTCCGTGTGGACCTGGTAATGCCGGATGAGGCTGGAGCTCCGGATGAAGGCCTTGCCGCACTCGTTGCACTCGTAGGGCCTCTCCCCAGTGTGGATCCTCTGGTGCCGGATGAGCAGAGAGCTCTGACTGAAGCCTTTCCCGCATTCCTTGCACTCGAAAGGTCGCTCCCGGGTGTGCACGCGCTGGTGGCGGATCAGGTCTGAGCTGTGACAGAACGCCTTCCCACACTGAGCGCACTTGAAGGGCCTTTCTCCCGCGTGCGCTTTCTGATGCTCCACAAGATCCGCGTAGAGAACGAAGTCTTTCCCACACGCGTTACACACGTAGAGTCTGTCTCCGCCGTGAGCGCGCGGATGCTCCACGAGGTGGGAGCTCTGGCCGAAGCCCCTCCCACACTCGTCACGTCTGTGAGACTTCTCCCCAGCCTGAGAAACCTGATGTCTGACCAGGTCCGAATTAAATGGGAAGCTTCCGCAAGCCTCGCGCTGGTGGGCCTCCCCTTCGATCAGCTCTCTCTGAAGCAGGAGGAGGTTTGAGCTCAGGACGGGGCTTCCTCCTGACTTACTGCCCACCTGCGCTGCCTCTCCTGTTTGGATCTTCCAGTGGGTAACTGTCACCTGCTTGAAACCTCCCTCCTGGGAGGGGCAGCTCCGCAGGCTCTGCCCGTCCAGGTTTCCCAACAGCCCCCCTAATCTGGGTTCAGGGCCCCCGCCAGGCGCAGGGGCAGCGACCTCCATCACTGTGAGGGCTTCGGACACTGTCTTCTGCAGATTTCCATGCTCAGAAATTCAGCCTCTGGAGTCACCTTCTAGTCACCCGTCAGTCTGCAATCAAAGAGAGTACGGTTATCTTTCCCCTTTCTTAACAGACGGGAATCTGCTGGAGCGGGCGGGCGGGTAGCAAAACGCATATCCAAGGAGTGGGAGAGAGGAAAACGTTCCCTCTGCCCACACTCCCGGCCCAGCACCGTGCTCGGCTCACCCCGCCGGCCTCTCCGCTGGCGAAGGCCTCTTTGGGCTCCACCGCTAACACCAACTCCAGGGGACAGACTGGCCGATGGCAGATGGGCAGGGATGTGGCTTGGACTCCACTCAAAAGTCAAGACATATTCCAAAGAAACACAGATGGATTGCTCTTAACCACCTCTGCGCTGCCCCTCCTTCCCCAGCCTAGATGGTCGATGGGATTATATTCATTTGGGGTATATATTCCACTCATTCTCTTGCATATTAATCCTAACTCCCCTGCCCTTCCCCTCCTCTATCATACTTGTGCGGGAAAACCCCAACTTGAGTAAAATTCAGCTTCCTTCCTGATCGGTGTCTGCACCCCTGCCAACTCAGTTCTCTCTACATTTATAACCAGTTGCCTAACGGACCCTGAGAGCTGCCGGCAATTTCTACACTTGGCCAACTCCCCTGTAAGATCATCTCCTGGTTTCTCCTCTCCTCTCAAATGTCCAACACGCCGTCCTTCCTCTCAGGGACGATGACCTTGCATCTTCCTTCAGTGAGCAAACAGAAGCAATGAGAAGAGAATGCCCACTTTCTCCCACATTTACCAACCTACCTGTGTTTGCGCCCACACCACACCCTCCCTCCTTCCAGGGTTAAATGTCCTTGATCGAATCCAAGGTAAAGACGTCCACCTGTGCACCCCCGGCCCCGCCCTGCAGAAGTCTGGGGTTGGAATTTTCACCACAGCCCTGTTCATATCACCAAAATATCCATCAACAGAAGAAAGGGTAAACTGAGGAGTCCTCCAACAAGGGAGGAATGCATAGCAATGAAAAGACCTGCCCCCCACAAAAGCGCAGGTGAACCTCACAGATGTAACGGTGAGCCAGAGTTCATAGCGTATGATCCTATTCACACAAAGTTCAGAACCACACGAAACCAACCATGGGGGGAGACTCGAGTCAATGATGGTCTCTAGGGAGAAGATCGTGGTTGGCAGGGGTGCAGGGAGGCCTCAGGGTTCTGGTGACCTGCATGTGGGCCTCGCTCCACAGGTGTGTTTGCTTTGGAAAAGCCTGTGCTTATTTAACCTCCCACGGTCTCTGGGACGCTGTGCCCAGCTCCCTTCTCCAGCTCTGGAATTCTCGCACCTGCACCCGGAGCTGAGCTCCGTTGCAGTCACGCCCTCTCCGTGGCGAGCCATCCATCGCTATGTAACAGTCACCTCAGACTTCCAACAGAAAAGGGACCCAGCTCCCATCTCACAGGGCCGTAGGTCGGAAGCCCAGCCTGGTACGACTGGGGCCCCTGAGGAGGGTCGCACAAGGTGTCAGCCAGGCTGAGATCTCTTCTGGAAGCTCTGGGAAAACGTATTTCCACACGCTCAGGTTGTTGGCAGAAGGCGGTCCCCTGCGCTTGTGGAACTGTCCCCGATCACCAGCTGGTGGCCCCTCGGGAGCACCCGCACCTTCCAGGCAGGAGCAGCTCAGACGCCCTCTCGGATTCTCTTCCGTGACCAGCTGCAGAAAGCCTGCTTTCCGAGGGCTCCCCGACTACCTTATGTCAACTGACCGCCAGAGCCCTCCCTGGCAGCCGGGAGGGGTGCACAGTTGGGGCCATCTCAGGACCCTGCCTGCCACACCCCAGCTGGGGCCCAGCCCACGACAGAGCGCAGAGCACCCCAGTCTCCACCTGGGGCAACTCGGAAGGGTCATCCAGCCCCAAAGCTCCACTGGGATGTGCCTGGGCCTGTTTCAAACCCACTGCCCGATCCCTCCTTCCTCACAGGTGCATCCCCGAGCGTGCCCCCCAGCTGCGCCCACTTCCCAGGAGCTCCGTCCAAGACGACCCTGCATGATCACCTCTCACCCCAAATCTGCACCAGTGGGAAGCAGACCAGTTGCTATGCAGCCCCACAAAGCGATGCCCTCCAGAACCCATTTCCAACGTGGCTGCCAAGGACAAGGATGTGCCCCTGAGGGCACAGCCAAGCAGAGGGGAGCAGCCCGGGGGCAGGAAAGCGGTGTAACCAGGTAACACGAGCTCTAGGGCCGCAGGGCTTCTTCCCAACAGGCTGTTCTTTTTTCTTCGCGAGGGGCAGCTCGCATCAAGTGCACACATCTCGATGAACTCCTGGCGTACACCTGCCTAACCACCAACACTTCCATAGCCCAGAGGCTCCCCCTCCAAAGGGAACCATCTCTATTATTATAGGTGAATTCTGCATGTTTTCTATTTCAATTAAATGGAATCATACAGTTATGTTTTGTGTCTGCTTTTTATTCAACATGTACCCACTTTTTATGGAGATAGAATTCACACACCATAAAATTCACCATTTTAAAGTGCACAATTCAGTGCTTTTTAGAATACCCCTAAGGTTGTAGAACGTTCCACACTATCTAATTACCTCCCGGGCGCTGTCATGCCCCCACCATGTGTCTGCTGCCGCTGAGCGCCGCACTGGGGAGGTCACTTGTGTGGCACAGACCTCACGGTGTGCGGCCTCCACTGCGTGAACACACCGCCACGCGCCTTCCTCTCTCCTATCCACCAACACCGAGGGGCTGGCAGCTCGGGCTTGGGGACAGAGCTGCCATAACTGGTCCTGTGCTTGTCTTCTGGTCGACAGAGGTGCTCATTTCCGCTGGGTCCTGGGACTCCTTCGCTTCAGTGGCCACCAGTTCAGGCCGCCCTCGCAGACTCCACTGGGAACTGCAGCCGCTGTGGACCAGCGACTGCCGTGGGTTTGGGGTTCTTCCCCTTCCTGAGTGGGGGCATCTATGTGGTGGGTGAGGAGACAGCATTTGGGGAGGCCGGGACTTGTCTGAGTTTAGACTGTGGCCACGTGAAGAGGCCCTGGTGCGGGGAGAAGGCCACACACAGAGACCCTGGCTCTGGGCTGGAAGCAGTAACTGAGCATGGCCTGGTGTGGGCCCCAGGGTGGCCGATGGGGTAAACTGTGGCAGAGACACACTGCCCGGCGTCCCTGCTTCCTCTGAGTGATTGAAACCCCTCCAGAAATTTTAGTGGACACACAGCAGTGAATGACTTCATTTCCTGAAGCTCCCTGAAGTGAGGTGTGACCCTGTGACTGATTCCAGCTGTGAGACAGGAATGGATGTGCGCATGCCACCCGTCTCCCACCCTCTCGCCCACCTGCAGTGACGTATGGTAGGCTCCAGGGCGCTGGAGGGGCAGAGCCACCCACCTGCCTGTGAGATGGAACACGAGAAACCAAGTTTCCTGTTGGAAACACTATTTTTGAATCTCTGTTACAGCAAAATGAACCCATGCTTAAATACGGCTATTAGACAACGTGACTATTCAGATGCAACGTTCCCTGTGATGATAGAGAAACTGAACCCGCACACCAAGAGCTGGCAATGAGGATGAGAAGCTGAGCACAAGTCTACGCGAAGCATTTCTCTCTGTGTGAGATTTGCAACACAGCTTCCGGGAGCAGCAGCCCTCTCGGGGTGCCCTGTGACACAGCATTTACGACCACTGCCTGGCGACGTTCGCTGAGAATGTTCTTCCGAGTTAAAGGCCCACTAACTTGGTTTAAAATATTTTCTGCTTATAAAAATTACTTTTAACTAGTTATTTTTTCAAGGTATGAAGGTAAACTATGCTATTCAAGAAAAACTTAAAAAATAACAATAAAATTACCCTTAACCCCACCACTCAGATTACACAGGGACATTTTTCCTCTAGTGCTTTTCTGCACCAATGTATTATGAAATCAGGACCACACTCCTCAGTCTCATATCCTGTTTTACTTCACTTTTATATCTTGTTAATTCTTAGCGATTAAAAACATAAGATACACATTGTAAAAATATTTCAAGGGGTAAACATAAAATATAGACTATGATAACCCCCAGCAATCCAACAGAGAACCACTGTTAGCTGTTCAGTTTATACACATTCATCCAGACCTCTGATTAAACAAAAACAATAATACATTTACTTAGGTACACGAGATTTTCAGATACAAACATGGGATCACACTATACCCATCCACCTGCAACACTTTCTGGCACTCTTCAAGTTCATTCACACAGAGGCACCTGGCGTTCTGAGCAGCAGCGTCGCCAGCACAGGCGCTCAGAGGCCCTAGTACACATCAGGCGCCGCAGGCAGCCCATCCCTGTGCCTCTGGTGTCACGAGGAAGGATGCTCCCTGACATATTCTGCCCGCTTCTCTTCCCCAGACAGGTGGAAGGAGTTAGCCAAATGAAAGGTTTGAGAGAATAACTAGGCATGCAGCACCCAACCTCTTGGACAAGGTGTCCAGCAGGCAGGACAGTGTCTAACCAGCACTCGCCTGAGAAGTCCAATGTCACTCCAACCTAGGCTTCGACCAACAGTGAGGTGACCTCTCGCTCTTCATGGGCCTCACTGGCGCAGACCTGGGAGGGCAGGAGGGGTGCTACTGACGAGGGCCCCTCAAACCCCAACCAGGCAGTGCTGAACGGGCCTGCATGGTCTCAGGGACACCTCCAAACCTTGTGAGGCAGCTGTTACCTCTATTCTTTACTCTACTTCACAGAGGCTGAGAAAGTCAGTTACCCAAGGCTGTGAAGAGGCAGAGCTCAGGTTCAGAGCCAGGCCTGTCTACCTCCACTGCCCATTTCCCGCTGTTGAAGATTTTTTTCCCTTCCCAACTATGATGTCACTTTTACAGGATATTTTGCTTAGATCAGCTGGGATTAGTATTATAAAAGTAAGCTTAGGGCTTCCCTGGAGGCTCAGTGGTTGAGAGTCTGCCTGCCGATGTAGGGGACACGGGTTCGTGCCCTGGTCCGGGAAGATCCCACATGCCGCGGAGCAGCTAGGCCCGTGAGCCATGGCTGCTGAGCCTGTGCATCCGGAGCCTGTGCTCCGCAACAGGGGAGGGCCAAAAAAAGGGAGGGCCCCGTGTACTGCAAAAAAAAAAAAAAAAAAAAAAGGGAGGGGGAAGACTTGGTTTTTTGTTTTGGAGGTGATATTTTCTGATTTTTTTGTTCAAAATGACTGTTATACCATCTGAAAACAGGCTTGCATATACTTACAAGAATATAGCTTTAAAAATGTATGCCTTTTCATGATTTTCATAACTTTTTTTAACTTTAGAGGAAGTTTTAAAAATTAAATATACCTTGCTTTGAATAAACATTTATCTTAAATTCAGCAATCTTTCAGTTTCTGCTTAGCTCCTTTTTCTTCTGTGAATTCAAGCAAAATTAAATTGATAGTCTTTCATTTAAAGAAACCTGAATGAAATGAACAAAGGAAGTAAAAATACGCCAGACATCGGTTCTGTAACATCCAAGGCTAACGTGGCCCACTCTTCTGTTATAACATATAGAATTTGCTGGACAAAATATAACATGAAACTGTCTAAATACACAGTTGATGCTGAGAGATGGGGCAAGCCTCAGTGCTGCGAATGAAGTGGAAGCTTAGCCTGGGAGTGGAGCCTGTGAGCAGCCCAGAGGGGCTCAGAGATGGTGAGGGGGCAGTGCCCGCTGCAGGCACTAGAAGCTGGTCTGCACTGGTGGAAGGGCGTTACAGCCTTGGGCTTACAAGCTGGCCAAGGTCGCTGTCTGCTGCTTACAGCCTAAAGAAAGGAAGCAGGAAGGTTTGCAAAGCTTCACCCTTGGGAATAATGGGAAAAAGAGTAAAAAGACACACGAGGAAGACACGGACTAGAGCTCCAGGAGAATCTGCACCTCTGTGCTGCCCTGCAGCCGCCACTGTCATCAACCCGAGCTTCTGCCACTGCAGCCGTGTTGGGGACCGAGTGCCTGGCGTGTGCTTTTCTTCTTTCCTCACAACCATCCATGAGGTTTAGGGAGGTGACTCGTTTAAGGCTGAGCCAGCTGCTAGCTGCTATCTCCTCCTCCCACCCCACCCCATGGCCATTTGGTTTTTGCTCCCAAGGCTCTGCCCAACGATGCCAATGGTCTCCTTTCCTGACAAGTTCAGTGCCCTTTCAACAGTCATCTTCCACAACCCGAGGCAGCACTGGACATGCCTGACAGCTCCTTGACCTGGTTCAAGGCCTCGCCCTGTTTCTGGGTCAGCTGCTTCCCTGAGCACCCCTTCCATCACTGGCTTGTGCATGTGGTCTGGGCCTTCTCAGCTCAGCCTTGCATCGTCCCCAGGACCTTTCCAGGAGAGTCAGGAATCCATCACCATCACTCCAGGAAGGGCTGGAGCCACCAAGTTAGGCTTGTGAAAGTACAGAGACCCCCCTCCCCACTCATTTCTCTCTGTATTCTCCAAAAGAGGGATGCTGCAGTTATCACCATTATTCAGGTACCGTTACAATGTTACATCTACAAAAAGTCCCACCTCTGTGGACAGGAGCAAGGTATCGCCTGAAGACTCGGTTAGATTGGCATCTCTCAGACCCTAGGTGGGCAAAAGACATTTCTGTCATTCACTGGGGCTGGAGCTCGGGGAAAGGATGTGCTGCAGAGAGGCTACTGCAGCGTGATGAGCTCTACAGACAAACTGCCTGAGTTCAAACTGGCCTCCAACTAACATTCCTGGGAAACCACAGGCATGCTACTCAGGCCCTGAAGATCCCATGACCACCATGCAGCCACTGCATGAGGGGGTAAGACGTCCAGGACATCAGCAGACACGGCCACCGGGTTCAGATACGACTCTAGAAAGGGAGCCTTCAGGGGAGAGCTGGGACAGCGCAGCCCATCACCTCTCCCCACCTGGGAGCTCTCCTTCGGGACCAGGGCTGGAGGGGATCCTGTTCATCACTTCTACCCCCGCCAGGGCAGAGGTGCCGGCTCTGCATCTCCTCCAGCACAAAGAGGCTCGAGGCCCCGGCCACTTCCCCAGCATCATTTGGAGAGCTCCCTTGGACTCCTGGGAGAGGAGGCAGGCTTAGAGCAAAACAGTAGTACTAGCCGCACCTGTGCCCCCCACCCCGCGCCAGGCCACGTCGGAAGGGCTGGTGGGCTTGAGAACTGCGACACAGACGCTGAAGCTGGAGGCTCTACGGCTTGGGTGTGTGACCCCTGGAGCCAGAGAAAGGAACCAAGAGAGTGGAACCGGGTATTCACCCACACGACGTTCCTTAGGGAGAGAAGCTGCGGGCCCCGGGCCGGACTGCAGCCCAGCGGGGGCGGCCGTGACGGCTGCCAGGAGCCGGGCTCACTGTGGCCCAGGCTCCGGGACCCCCGTGCGGGCCGACCGCGCTCAGCCCGCCCGTCCGCCCGATCGGAGGACCCTGCCGCCCCCGCCCCCGCCCGCGGCCCGGAACGCGCCACTCACCCGGCACCCAGCGGCGAGAGGACGGCGCGCGCCCCGCACGCGGACCGCTGGCCGCCCGCCCCGCTGGCCTGCTGACAAAGCCCGCACGGCCGCCCGCACGGTGCGGCCGGAAATCGGCCCGAGGCCCCGCCCGGGGAGCTTCCGGTGCCGCTCTAGCCGCGCAGAGACCAGCCGGTCTCTCGGTGGTACGGACCTCCGGCCGGCCGCGGGCTGCAGGGAGCCCGGCAGGGAGCTGGGCAGGGGCAGAGCAGGACGGCATCTCCCGCGGCCCCGCAGCCTTGAGCGCCGCCTGCCCGCCAAGTGTGAATGGCTGACAGGGGTTGTGTCTCCCGGGAGCTGTAAATGCTGGCGTTGAGAACCAGGCGGAGCTCCCGGCGCCCAGCGGCCCCGGGCCCCAGGGCACCTTCGGGCACGGGCCGGGGGCCGCTCCTCACAGAGGCGAGGCCTGGTGTGGCGCGGGCCGCCGAGGGTTTCCGCCTCCTTCCCGTGGCGGGCAGCGCTTCCCGAGCCTTCGCGCAGAGGCTCACTCCAAGCCCACGAGGAATGTCCTCCAACATCTTCCTTCTACGGACCAGGGACTGAAGCTGGAGAAGCCAGGTCACTTCCTCGAGGTCACACAGCTAGTAGGTGGCCAGGCCGACCGCCTCGAGGGCCACGCTTGTGCCCCGGCCGTGCGTTTGGTCCTGCGGGAGCAGGAATGGCCGCTGGGGACAGTCGCGGGAAATCCCGCTGATTCCCGCCCCCCACCCCCGGGTGGAAGAGCATGCCTCCAATTTCCAAACCCAAAGCCGAGCAAAACACAATCCAGCTGGACCTGGGGAAGGGCAGTATTCACAAGCACCAGCTCTGTCAGGGGGTGAGATGCAAGGAGCAAGCAAGGGGGTCATTACAATAAGCAGTGCCAAAGAGGGGCCCTGGGCCCTGAGGAAGTGCTCCTGGCCGCCACCGGGAGTACACACACACCTCTCTGCACAGCAGGGAAAGCTTCTTGGAGGAGGAGGCCTGAGAGGGAGAGGGATGTCTCCTAACAAAACATGGACAAGATCTGTATGCTGCAAATTAAAAGATGATGATGAGGGCTTCCCTGGTGGCGCAGTGGTTGGGAGTCCGCCTGCCGATGCAGGGGACGCGGGTTCATGCCCCGGTCCGGGAGGATCCCACGTGCCGCGGAGCGGCTGGGCCCGTGAGCCATGGCCGCTGAGCCTGGGCGTCCGGAGGCTGTGCTCCGCAACGGAAGAGGCCACAACAGTGAGGCCCGCGTACAGCCAAAAAAAAAAAAAGATGCTGATGAAAGAGATCAAAGAAGAACTAAATAAATGGAGACATCATCGTATTCATGGACTGGAAGACTCAACATAGTAAAACTGTTAATTTTCCCCGAATTAATCTAAAGGTTTAATGCAATTCCTATCGAAATTACAGAAAGAATTTTAGTAGACACAGATAAGCTTATTCTAAAATGTATATGGACAGGACAGGCCCTAGAACAGCTTAAAAATTCTTGAAAAAGAAGAATAAAATGGAAGGACCACCACCTGATATTAAGACCTACAGTATTGCTGCTGTAATCAGGACAGTGTGGCATTGGTGGGGGGATAGACACCTAGGTCTATGGATCAGAATAAAGAACCAGGCACATATCCCACACAGATATGCCCAGAAGACTTTTGACAAAGGTACAAAAGCAATTCAATGGAGACTTCAATTAATAATAACGTATCAATGTCAGCTCATCAATTGTTTAAAAAAAGAAAAGAAAAGTAAAACAGCCAAACTTGTATTTTTTTGTTGTTAAACTTTTGTCAGCATTATTAATAAGCAGCAGTCCCTCTCAAATACCTGTGGGTGGCGCAAAGTCAGGAGAAATTTCATCTTCTACTCAAGACCAAGATTTGCTCTTTGAGAACGTTACGTTGTTTTGCTTAACATTTTAGGTTCTTCTAGAATCTAAATTAAATCTACTTTCTTTAAAGCACTTAGCATTCCCATCACATGTCCAAGGGCAGCTACAAGGTCATATGTGACATGTTTTTCCAAGATGTTTCATCTTTGGGCGAATCCAGAAAATCTTGCATATAATCTTTTGATTGTTCCAGAGAATGTTATCATGATCAGCACAACTGAGGTCAGGTCTCCCAGTGACATGACACATAACAGAAAAAAATGCTTCTAGATTTTTTGCCAAAAGCCTGACTTCGACACAGCTTTACCGTCTCTAACCATGTCAGTGCCAGTAGCACCTACTTGCCCTCGGTAATTTTTTAAATCAATGCCTAAAATGGTAAGTTTCTTTTTTTCAGTCCTTTCCTTAAGTTAAATGAGTGTTTCATCTAGACCAACCTATATGCGAATTCAAGAGAAGTGTGAATTAATATTACAAAATATTTCTCAGCCACTATTGCAAGTACTGCACTAATTCCTGAGTACTGCTGGAATCATAGATTGGAACGGGAAGAACAGCAAGAAAGATCTGACCCATTAGTTAATTTATCTTTTTTCATAGCTAAGTGCCTCCACTGCTCAACTTCCCCTGCACAACCCACAGATCTTTGTGGTCTTCAAAAAATTCTCTTAAGAGGGGACTTCCTTGGTGGTCCAGTGGGTAAGACTCCACGCTCCTAACGCAGGGGGCCCAGGTTCAATCCTGCATTGCCACAACTAAGAAGTCCACATGCCGCAACTAAAGATCACACATGCTGCAGCTAAGACCCGGCACAGCCAAAATAAATAAATAAATGTATTTTTTAAAAATTCTCTTAAGGGGATGAAAAGGCAAGCTGCAGACTGGGAGAAAATATTTGCAAATCACATATCTGACAACGTATTTGTATCTGGAATATATGAAGAATTCTCTAAATAGTAAGAAAACAAATAATTCAATCAGAAAATGGATAAAAGATTTGAACACACAGTTCACCAAAATATATATATACAGATGGCAAATAAGCACATTAAAAGATACTCAACATCATTAGCCATAAAGGGAAATGCAAGTTAAACCCATAATGAAATATCTATCAGAACACATCTCTCAGAATGGCTAAAATTAAATACAAATAGTGACAACACTAAATGCTGGTAAGGGAGTGGATCACTCCTACGTTGCTGGTGGGAACATAAAAAAGAATTCTAGAAAAGAGTTAGGCAGTTTATTGTGAAGTTAATCATATACTTGCCACATGACCCAGCAATTGCATTTATTGGGTATTTATCCTACAAAAATAAAAAAAGGTATGTTCACACAAAAGCCTGCACCTGAATGTTCATAGCAGCTTTATTCACAGCTGCCAACTGTCTTTCAACAGGTGAATGAACAAACAAACCCAGGTCCATCCACACCGTGGGAAACAACTCTGCAACCAAAAGGAACAAACTTTTGATGCAACGTGGGCGGATTACAGGGCATTATACTGAGTGCAAAAGCCAGTCTCAAAACGCTGCATACTGTATGGTTCCAGTTATACGACACTCTTGCGGTGATGACATCGTAGAACCAGGCTGGTTCCCAGGAGTTAGAGTTGTGGGGAGGTGTGACTATGCAGAAGCACCGTAAGGGCGTTTCTTTGTGGTGATGGAGCAGGGCTGTGTCCTGATTATGGTGGTGGTTACAAGAAACCATACATGTGACAAAATTTCAAAAAACTACACACCCCCTCCCAAAATAAAGAGTGCGTGCAAAACTGATGAAACCGGTTAAGGTCTGTACATGAGTTAATACCATCCTCAGTTTCCTGGTTTTGACAATGTAAGATGGTTTTTTTTTTGGAAAAGCTGAATGAAAAGAACATGGGACCTCTCTGTAGTACTTTGCAAATTCTTGTGAGTCTAAAATTATTTCAAAATAAAAAGTTGAAGTTAAAAAAACAAAACATAGGGCTTCACTGGTGGCGCAGTGGTTGAGAGCACCTGCCGATGCAGGGGACACGGGTTCGTGCCCCGGTCTGGGAAGATCCCACACGCTGCGGAGCGGCTGGGCCCGTGAGCCATGGCCGCTGAGCCTGCGCGTCCGGAGCCTGTGCTCCGCAACGGGAGAGGCCACAACAGTGAGAGGTCCGCGTACCGCAAACAAAAACAAAAACAAACAAAAAAAACCCAAAACAAACAAAAAAACCCATAAGTTATACTTAATGAGTATAAAGATGTACAATAAAAAATTATATAGGGCTTTCCTGGTGGTGCAGTGGTTAAGTATCCACCTGCCAATGCAGGGGACACAGGTTCGATCCCTGGTCCGCGAAGATCCCACATGCCATGGAGCAACTAAGCCCATGCGCCACAACTACTGAGCCTGTGAGCCACAACCTCTGAAGCCCGCGTGCCTACTAGAGCCCATGCTCTGCAACAAGAGAAGCCACTCTAATGAGAAGCCCACGCACTGCAACGAAGAGTAGCCCCCGCTCACCGCAACTAGAGAAAGCCCGCACGCAGCAACAAAGACCCAACTCAGCCAAAAATAAAATAAATAAATTGTAAAAAATTATATAAGTGAAAAATGTCCATATTTAATTATAACTATTTTAAAAAATTGTACAGTGACCACTCATGTACCCAGCATCCCGTTTCTACTGTTACTGCCTTGCTATATTTCTTTATCATGCATTTATTCTATTCATCTGCATACCTATTCTGTCTACCCATTCATCTTATTTTTTGGTGCATTTCAAAGTAAGTTGCAGACATTAGTAAAATTCACTCCTAAATAGTTCAGCATGCAGATCACTAACTAACTAGAGTTCAATATAGTTAGAGGAGACATTTTTAGGTAAAATTTATACAGTGAAATGCACGTCTTATGTGTACCCTTGCGTGAACTTTGACATATGCAGACCCTTGTGTCACTCAAACCCCGATGTACGTAAGGAGCATCACCATCGCCCCAGAAAATTCCCTCAAGGCTCTGCCCAGCCGATGCCCCCCGAATCCTAAAGACACAAACACTGCTCTCATTATCTAGTCTTCTTTGCTTGCTTTCTCAAGCCATTTTCGGAGGGCTGCCCTGCTGTCCCCAGAAAAGCCTCCTTATGTAAGTAGTAAATCTTTTCATACCTTCTTGGTGTGTGTGTGGCATCATAAGTCCACATCACAACCAATTTTTTTGTGGGGTCTATTCTGTCCCCGCAGCGTGATTGCTACAGAAGAGAAGCAAGAGTAGGGATGGTCCTCACTACTACCAACGGTCGCTTCCTTATGCTGGATCAGTTGCGCGCCAAGGATCTAAGTAACTCATTTGTATTTCCTCTCACCTAAGCAGCACCTCCACTGCTCCAATCCTCCTTGTACCTGGAAGCAGTACTTTTCCAACACCAGTTGGTCACAACCACAAACCTTCCTGGTATCTGGACCAATCGCTTTTTTTTTCTTTTAAAGACAGAGTTGTGGGACTTCCCTGGTGGCGCAGTGGTTAAGAATCCGCCTACCAATGCAGGGGACACGGGTTCACATGCTGCACAACAACTAAGCCCGTGCGCTACAACTTACTGAGCCTGTGCTCTATAGCCCGCAAGCCACAACTACTGAGCCCGCTAGCCACAATAACTGAAGCCCGCGCACCTAGAGCCCATGCTGGGCAGGAAAGAGAAGCCACCGCCATGAGAAGTCCCCGCACCGAAACGAAGAGTAGCCCCCGCTCTCCGCAACTAGAGAAAGCCCGTGTGCAGCAACGAAGACCCAATGCAGCCAAAAATAAATAAATTAATTAATTAAAAAAAAAAAAACACACAGAGCTGTGTCAATGCCAAGCCCAGATCCTGGGAGACAGAGGTGCCTGTGTGTGACTATCAGGCCCTCCGAGGTCGCAGCCCAGGGCGGCACCCGCCAGGCGGTGGAGGGGATGCGGACTGTCCTAGGAACAGGAGGGTCCGGAACAGGTTCCTAAGTCTGCCTTAGAAAGAGTCTCAAGTTGATTCCCAAGTTCATTCAGATCCACGGAACCAGAACTCCCTCGGCAAAGGCCCGAAACCTGTGCCTTCTGCAAGCGTCCCAGGTGATCCAGCGCAAGTAACCGAAGGAGGCGGGGCCTGGGCGCGCACGCGCGGAGGGGCTGCAGGGAATGGTGCCTGTGGAGCAACCCGGGAGGAGGAAAGGGGCCTGGAGGAGGCGGGGCCTGAGAACCTGTCCGAGGGCGGGGCGGGGCGGGCCTGCAGAGACAAAGAGGGGGAGGAGCCGGGCGGGAGCCGACCCGCTCACCGTGCGCCGGCTGGGGCGGCCCGATTCGGGCTTTGGGCTTCGGCGGTGAGTCCGGCGCGGCGCCGCTCCGACCCCGCTGAACCGCGGAGCCCGGGAGCTGTAGCCTCGCCCCAGGCAGGCCGGGCGGAGTGGTGGTGGGTGGGCTTATCCCGCTTGCCCGCGCGGCGCCCATCCAGCTCCCCTGCTTTATTATGGATTGACCCGCGCGCCCGGGTCCTCACGTCAACGCAGAGCGTCGGCGTCCCCGGGAGGCACCTGTCCCGGCTAGCCTCGTAGCTGACGCCGCGGAAGGGCCGGGGCTCGGTCCGGACCCCCCGGGCCCGCCGCCCTCCCCTGCCGGCTCTCCTCTCCGCAGCCCTCTGCCCTCGCCTCGGAGGGACCGGAAGCCGGCTTGGTGGGCAGCTCCCCGGCCGCCGGGCCCCAGGTGAGGGCGCCTGCCCCCCGGACCTGGGCTCCTTGCGACCCGGAAGATCTTTCCGCGGAGCCCGCCGCACCTGGGAACCTGAGTCCCAGGTCCTCTCCAGGAGGAGGGAACTCACTGGGGCGTCCCTCGTCCCTCCCCTTTTTTCTCCCGGGGCCTCCCTGCGGCTGGGGAGGGACACTCACCAAGGAAGACTGTAGGGAGCAGGTTGGGGGATGGAGGGTGGAGAGAAGTAGGGCCAGCTGGACATGTTGGGTTGAGGGTTGTCATTAGGGGTCCCCTGGCAGGCAGGGTACCTGGGACGGGATCCAGGGGTCCCACACGCCTGCTAGTGAGCCTTCTGCCTCCCCCACCTTGAATTCCCCCACCCCGTCCTGAGGTGGTGACCCCACGGGCAGCACCAGTGTTGTTTCAGCGCCTGCTGACCTTTAGGGACATGGCTGTGCACTTCACGCAGGAAGGAGGGGCACGTCTGGACCCGGGGCAGAGGGCCCTGTATAGAGACGTGATGCTGGAGACTTAGAGCAACCTGGCCTCCCTGGGTGAGGTGTCTCAGCCCCACGCCTTCCCTCTTCCCCACTCCCAGCCCACACTCAGAGCACAGGTGGGATCCCAGAGGGGTCAGGCTGGCTGTGACTCCAGGACCAGAGCCAGGACATTCTGCTCCCAGGCCCAGGGGACAGGTGGGGTTTCTGGACCCATCCCCGGGGCAGGGCCTTTCCCAGCACTTTGCTGCTGGGTGACTAGAGTGCCCACTTCTCCTACAGCTGTGGACCTCGGCTGCGCCCACATCCCTGCCCTGCTTGCTGTCCCCCTCAGCCTCCTGGGGAGACCCCCTGTTTCTAAGCCTGCATCCTGGGTCCAGCTAAACCCCAGTCCCACGCTACCCCTGGGGCGGGAAGCCAAGGGTGCCGTAGCGCTTCAGTTCACCCATTTCCCCTCGGGCAGGAGTTCCAGGATCCAAACCAGATCTGATCTCCCAGCTGGAGCAAGGAAAGGAGCCCTGGGGCTCGGACCTGCTGGGGTCCCAGGAAGGAGAGACCGTGGGAGACCCCAGCACAGGTGAATGAGGGGTGCCGCGGGCCTCAGATTGTTCAGTATATATGCTTAGTACACACAGCCAGTGTCGTGAACGGTCAGACAGGACAGTCACACGGTCGTCCCCGTGGGACGAGCTATCAGTCAGAACCCTCAATTGCAAGGAACCGAAAACCCAACCCAACCGGCCAAAGTTGCGGGGAGGCTCTTGGCTCAAGGCCTGAAAGTTGGGGGTGGGGTTGGTTCTCTGCACTGTGGGTCTCAGGCTCCGAATGATGCCGTTGGCACAGGGGTGAAAGCCAGAATATTTAACGTTGGTTGGGTCAGACTTCCAGCCTCCAAGAACGGCTGCTGGCCATGTGTGGTAGTGGCCCGCTGGTGACCATCGCACCATCAGGACATGTCTGTCCACCTGCTGTTAAACAGAAACTTCTGTTCTCTATTTCTCACAGCAACGCTTCCAACACCAAATGTAGGGCGGTTCCTCACACCAACCAGTCTCCACCTCTCTGCACATCAACTGGGTGTCCTACAATTTAGTTCTGACACTGACCACCCGGAGTTAGCGCAGACCCTGCCCGTGAAGGGCTCAGTCCCACGAGACCGCCCCCACCTCAGGTGCCAATCACAAGGCCAGGCTGGCACCTGTGCTGCTCGACCAGCTGTGGATTGGAGGTTCCCACGACCCCACCCCTGGGCTTGAGTAATACGCTAGAACAGCTCAGAACTCAAGGAAACACTGTACTTAACAGTTACTGGTGAGTTACCGGTTTATTATAAAGGACACAACTCAGGAACAGCCCAGTGGAAGAGCGGCACAGGGCAAGGTCTGGGGAAGGGGTGCAGAGCTCCCACACCCTCTCGAGGCGCGCTCACTCCCCAGCACCTCCACGTGGTCACCAAGCCAGAAGCTCTCCGAACCCCTTTGCGTGGTTGTGGAGGCTCCACTGCATGTGTGTGATTGATCAAATCATTGGCCACTGGGGACTGAACCCGGTCACTAGCCCTTCTCCCCTCCTTGGAGGTCTGGGGCTAGGACAGAAAGTGTTTCAGGTTTTGCAGGCCACGCAGTCTCTGTCGCAGAGCCAAAGGTTCTAGTAAGCGGAAGCAAAAATGCTGCATGTGTGTCCCAGGGCGGGTGGCCCCGGCTCCTCGTACACCTGCCGTTGGTTGAGTGCCTGTGCACCCCAGGGAGGGCCACAGCTCATTCCTCAGCAGAACCTTGCCAGGTTGCGTCAGGCTGCTGCCTCTACTGATGCATGTATGGGAGGACCAGTGTTTTTGGAGGCCCTGTACCTCCTGTTTTATCTCCTTTGCCACAAAATGGATCCCTTGATCTAAAGCTGTGACCTGTGGCTTCGACGTTCAGAAACCCGGGGTGGGCCCTAGAAGCAGGGTGCTGGCAAAGGTGCTTCCGGCAGACCTGTGTCTGGAGTAGGTGTCAGTGTTGGTCGGGACCAGCCACTGTCTCCTCCAGGATGGAAGGTCCTGTGTGATTAACTTGCCCACAAGCACCGGTCAGTCTCCTGCAGGCTTCACACTGAGGAGTCAGCCTTTGCTGACAGGCCACCCGTTCAGTGGGGACAGCAGCTAGAGGGGTTTCCACAAGAGGGAGCTATGTACGTCCCCTCCCTGCACTGGGGTTCCTCTTCCCATGGGCTCACCTGTTCAAGCTCTGGTGACCAAGGACAGAGGCTAGCTGATATGCACAGGACAGGCCGTCCTGTCCCCTGGTCCCTGAGTGCCTTCCCCACAATGGATCTGTACACCGTCCATCGCACGCCTCTCCCCAGGTGTGACCTTGCCCTGGGATTCACCTGCATCCTCACCTCGGAGCTGGCGAGCAGGCACCCTGCCCCGAGCTCTGCCCCTGGGAGATGGCCCCATCCCTGGCCAGGTTTGGAGCCCACCCAGGCAGGTAGTGGGCCCTGGACCACCTGGTTGTTGGGGTCCCAGGGAGGCCCCGGGGACAAGCTGAGACAGCTGCTAGTGTCAAAGAGATGAGTGACGTGAGGACCTGGGCCCTCACTCCCATGACTAATCATGTCTTCTGGACCTGCCAGGCCTGTTTAGATGCATGTGCCTGTAACCTGTCTGCTGGTGGCCGCTCTGACCACGTGGTCATTTTCTGTCCCTTGTCCGGTCTCTGCAGAGGCCAGCGGCACATCACACACCACTTTTGAAATGGCAAGTGTGTCCTTGCCCAGAATCTAAGGGCTCTGCGTGGCACAGCTGGCCAGGGACTCCACGCAGGGTCCCGTGGCTCCTGTCCCCTCGCAGCCGGGACCTGAGGCAGAGCCCTGGCTTTCTTCCAGGCCCTGCTCGACACTGGCAGCCTCTGGGTCACTCAGCGACAGGTGGGAGCAGTCTCCCCCATGTGGCATGTCTCCCGGAGCGAGGAGGGCGAGGTCACCTGGGCCTCTCGCCATAGACTCGATGTGGCCCTGGCCCTTTGTAGGTTCTGCCCCACCCTCTGCCGTGCAGGCATCTCTCTAGGGTATCTGGAGCATGTAACACTTCAGTTCGTTCACTGCATCCAGTTGGCATGAGGTCATCAACACAGTGACCGCCGGCCCGCTGTGGACGAACACATTTGCCAAATTGAGCGTCCCTTCCCGAGTGCAAGGGGCTGCTGCTCTGCCCATCACAGGCGCCGCGTCTGGCCCAGCAGCTGAAGCCAAGCCTACACTTGGGCAAGCTCCCAGGGGTTCCCAGCAGCAGGCGTGAGCCATCCGGTGGTTCATGGGCCACACAGGTGGACCGAACGGGGCTGTGGTGGAGCCGCCGTCCCTGCATCCCTCTGCTCTGAGGTGGCCGTGTGCGCACAGCACCGCTGCTGGTCGAGGACCTTGGCCGGGGCTGGGGGCAGTTTCTGGGGTGTTGTAGTTTATCTTACGACAGGGCCGAAAGCAAGGTCATCCCACGAGATGAACTGTGCCGAAGCACAGCAGTAGAGGGCTGCCGCCTGCTCAGGCAGAACAGCGCCATCTGTCCTGCCGTGGTGGCTTTTATTTAAGCATTATCTAGGTTTACATTTTAAGACTTGTTTTCTTAACATTCCAGAAATGCCAGAGCAGCAACATATGCTTTTATTGATTATACAGGCAACAATGGGCTTCCCTGAAGACATGCCGTGCTTCGTCCTTGAGCGCAAAAGCAGCACAAGGACATTTCCTTGTGTTTCCATTATTCTGATTATACTGAAGTAGCACAAGGACATTTCCTTGCGTTCCCACCATTCTGATTATACTGCAGTAGCACAAGGACACTTCCTTGCGTTCCCACCATTCTGATTACACTGAGGACATCTCATGGATCAGTGCCCAAAGCACTCAATGCTTATTCGCAGGCCCCTGGTTTGCCGGGGGTGGGGGGGAGCGGGGGGGGCTCAAAGCAACCAGGACTGTTTGCAGTTCTGGCTTATTCGCCAGCCCCCAGTTTGCTGGGGGGGGGGGTGGTCTCATGGGTCACGTCTCCTTTCCATGTCCTCAGTTACTCCACTACACTGGGGCTTCCACTTGGCCCTTCCCGACGTAATGGCTCTTACCCCTCAGGTCCGGAGACTGATGAGAGGGTTCCCCCCGCTGCCAAGTGCATCCATCCCGACGAGGCCCTGCAAGTGGGTCCGTGACTTGGTTCCCCAGCCCTTTTGTCACCCAGCCTCCATATGCCCAACTCTAACGGCATTTTGGGGCCCTATTTTCAGTGTCGGCTCAAATGCTGCATCCAGCAGCCTGCCAGGTGTGGGCATCCCTCTTTTCCCAGTGGTCAGCTCTGTGGGAAGGAGAGTATCTGCTGTGCTAACTTGCAGGAGGTTTGTCTCACGGGGACCCAGCCTCCCCTTCGTCAGCGGGCCCCAGTCTGAGAACTGCCCAGATCTGGGTGAGGGATTGGGCTCTCCAGCATGGCGGCTCATCTTAGCCTTCCCCTGCCCATCTCTTGGCCTTTCCTGGTTCTACAAGTCAAGCAGCAGCCTGGCCAGCTGCTCACTGTCTGGCGCACCGAGATCGATTACCCATCGCCAAGCATCCCCACCCCGTGCCCCAGGGCCCCCTGCTCCTCCCCTCTCCGGGCCTTAATCTCCACCAAGGCGATGGGCCAGCCTGTGTCTTCAGAAGCCTTGGTGTTTGGCTTTATGGCTAAGCGTGTGCCCCACAGTCAGCACAGCCACAGTGGGGAGCTGAAGCTCTAGAACAGCTACGGAGGCCTCTGGCTCTTGGCCTCCCCTGGGGGTGGCTGCCCTGAGCCTGTCCTTCTCCTCAGTGCCGTCCAGGACATTTACAAAGGACAGGCGACCCCACGGGCCTCCCGAAGACCACTGCCCCACATGGCTAGAGGGCAAGAACGACCACGTAACCCTGGCTCCCCTCCTGCTGCCCCGTCTCCAGCTACCGCCGCAAAGGCCCTGCCTCCTGATGCTGCGCCAGCTCTCTCACCCCAGCCCTGCACTAGAGGCTTGTGGGCCTCTGAGCAGCGGGGCCTGGTCACAGTCCCCCCGTCCAGTACCAGTCACCGCAGTTTGGGCCCCCCCGAGCACAGAGGCTGAGAGTTTGGGGTACAGACGGTGTATCTGGAAGGCAGCAATTTTGGAAGCAGGCGAGAGGGAGCAGGGAGACAGGAGAGCAAAGTCAGTATAGAGTTGCCACTGCAAGTGTGCGGGGCACGACAGCTCCAGGACCGTGACCGCTGAGAGGCTGCAGGAGGCGTCTGGGATTGTCCATCAGAGCGAGGGAGATGGGATACTTGTCCTCTATTCCCAACCCCGGGGTGGTACCTGTCACACAGCATGGGCTGGCAGCATGGAGCTCTGGAGGGGTTGAGGTGCACCTGTACCCCAGAGGATGCGGGCAGTCAGAGCTCTGCAGAGCTGTCTGCTGCAGCGAGGAGGCCGGAATCCGAGAGAGGCAGGGGGCCTGGCATAGTGTGCTGGCAGCGTCAGCTATGAGCTTCCACTCAGAAAAGGTGGGGAGGGCTTCCCTGGTGGCGCGGTGGTTGAGAGTCCGCCTGCCGATGCGGGGGACACGGGTTCGTGCCCCGGTCCGAGAAGATCCCACATGCTGCGGAGCGGCTGGGCCCGTGAGCCATGGCCGCTGAGCCTGCGCGTCTGGAGCCTGTGCTCCGCAAAGGGAGAGGCCACAGCAGTGAGAGGCCCGCGTACCGCAAAAAAAAAAAAAGGTGGGGAGGAAACGGGACATAGGAGGGGAAGGTCCGTGGAGGAGGTGAGCACATGAGCACAGCCAGTGAACCTGGTGTCACCTGTGAGACACCCCACGGAGAGGGCTGGCGCGTGGAGTCCGTGCTCCCGGGCACGGAGGGGGCCCCAGGCGGACCTTCTCAAACAGAGTAACACACAGGCCCTTTCTCTTCGTTGCAGATTCCAGCCGGGGGTCTTTGCGTAAGCAGGTGATGGCGAGGGTGAAAACGACTCAAGCCTCAGAGCCTCCAGAAGCATCTGGAAGGTTCTCAGGGGGTGGGCCTCCAACACTGGTCTGCAGAGAAGCCGCCGGGCACGAGGGCAGGCTAGGGAGCCTTGAGAACTTCCTTTTCCGGGAGAGACAACCACACAGAACCTACTGGGCCATCTCCAAAGCAGAAGGTGCCCAGAAAGGCGGTAAATGGGGACCCGAACTTCTCCGCAGCCCGCGCCCTGGGGCCCGTGAGAGAAACATGAAACGGCAGCGAGCCCGCACGTGCGAAACGTGCGCCAAGAGCTTCCGGTACCTCTCGCGCCTGTGAGACACCGGGCCACGCACAGCGGCGAGAAGTCGCACGCGTGCGGGAGTGCGGCCGCGCGTTCAGCCAGCGCTCGCACCGGGCGCAGCGCCGCAGCGCGCACGCGGGCCAGAAGCCGCACACCTGCGGACAGTGCGGCCACGTGTCCACAGCGGCGAGAAGCCCTTCGGGTGCCAGTGGTGCGGGAAGCCCTTCAGTTACAGCACCCTCCTCGCCCAGCACCAGCGGATCCACACCCGAGAGAGGCCGTTCCGGTGCGCGAGGTGCGGGAAGAGCTTCATCTGGAAGTCCAGCTTTCGGAACCACCAGAAATCACATCGAGGCAGCGTGGACCTCTGTAAGCTAAGCTCTGGAAGCAGCCGCTGGAGGGGAGAGCTTGGGACTCGCTGCTACTCCAAGGAGCGCCCCGGAAGGATGTCCCCGGGCACGTGGAGCAGTGCCAGAGCGAGAGCAGCACGAGGGACCGGATTGTTCTCCACCCGCGATCAGCCTGTGCATTTCGGGTCCTTCCCACGACGGGGGTGGCCCAGGCCTGCCCGCCCCGGCGAGCGCCGCCCGGCAGCTGGATTCCGCGTGGCTGTGGTACTTCTTGGGCAAGTTGATGGTTTGAAAGTCGCTATTTTCAAGTGCATGCAGATTTTATTTTTGAAACTTAAAACGTAGGTCTTTGTCTCCATTTGCATCATAGGTGGGTTCTAAACGCCTTTGAAATCCTAGTTTTAGAGCTATGTAATAATTGCATTATGTTGGAATGGTTTGAGAGGAAGTTTTGAAATTGCTTTTTGAGAAAATGTGCTTATGTGGATATCAGGTTTTCAAGGAGTGGATTGTAATGAACAGCTCTTGTTTCAGCCCATCCCACATCTATCCCCTCCTTCTTTCTTTTTGTAAGAGCACCTCACCTTTGGTTTGCAGCACTTCCTAGGATCTGTTGTAGGAAGTCACAGTGGTGGTCTCAGTCTGGGTGCACCTCCTCCTGTGGCCACTGGTCAACCCGGGAGGAAGCTAAGGCAATCAGACCCTCCCCTCCAGTCCATCACTGAAGGAAAAGGTGTGTATATATCTCATGTCATCTGTGAATAGTGATAGATTCACTTCTTTCCAATTTGGATGCCTTTTCTTTTTCTTGCCCAGTTACTCTGGCTAGAAATTCCAGTACAATGTTTAACAGGAGTGGCAAAAATGGATATCTTTGTCTAATTTCTTACCTTAGAGGGAAAGCTTTCAGTCTTTCATTCATAGAGTATGATGTTAGCTGTGGGTTTTTCATAAATGCCCTTTATTAAGTTGAGGAAGTCCTCTTCTGTTCCTGGTTTGTTGCGTGTTCTTATCATGAAAGGGTGTGATTTTGTCAAATGCTTTATCTGCATCAGCTGAGATGATCATGTAGTTTTTTTCTTTGTCTTTTTTTAAAACAATTACAGGCGTTTTATTTTATTTTTTTATTATTATTTATTTTAAAATTTTTTGGCTGCATTGGGCCTTTGTTGCTGCACGCGGGCTTTTCTCTGGTTGCGGCGAGCGGGGACTACTCTTCGTTGTGGTGCGCGGGCTTCTCATTGCGGTGGCTTCTCCTGTTGCAGAGCATGGGCTCTAGGTGCACGGGCTTCAGTAGTTGTGGCACGTGGGCTCAGCAGTTGTGGCTCATGGGCTCTAGAGTGCAGGCTCAGTAGTTGTGGCTCACGGGCCTAGCTGCTCCGCGGCACGTGGGATCCTCCCAGACCAGGGCTCGAACCCGTGTCCCCTGCATTAGCAGGAAGATTGTCAACCACTGCGCCACCAGGGAAGCCTGAAAGTCTCGTTTTCTTAAAGTCACCTGATTGAAGATGTTACCATCTACAAAATCTCTTCACTGGCAACACCTAGATTTGTGTTTGATTGAATCACTGGGTGCTACAGCCTGGCCAAGTTGACACCTAACACCAGCCGTCACACCAGGCATCGTTCCTAACTTGCTCCCATGACTTGCGTGGCTGGTGAAGCATGAGTCCCGTTAATCCTACCACCTCGATGTTGCTTAAGGCAGTAAACTTCTTTTGAGTCCTCATTACCTGAACTACAGCAGTGGCCGCTAAGTGGTCTCCTGCTTTTAATAATCTCCTGAAACGTGTTTGTCTTTTTAATGTATTTATTAAAGTATATTTTATATACTGCCCCCTCAGTGTCCCGAATATAGTAACAGAGTTGCAGTTGTTTCTCACAAATGCAGTGTTTGCCCTAGGAAAGCACTGAGGAGTTGCAGCTTCTCCATTTTTAGAACGGTGTTTGGTTCTGCCGCCTCTCCTCGGTCCACAGCTTGCGGGCTTTCGGAGACGCGCTGCCTCTCCTCCTCTCCCACGCCCCCACGCTCTGCAGCAAGGGCTCGCGCCCAGCGCCAGGCTGGGTTAAGGGCGGGTCGGGGTCCGCCCAGGGGAGGAGGAGCCGGAAGAACTACATTTCCCAGGCTGCTGCGCGGTTCCGGACTCCATTTCCCAACAACGCCCGGGGCGCCCCGCCAGGACTCCATTTCCCAGAGTTCCGCGGGAGGGCCCGACCTGATCCCGCTCCCGCCACCTAACCCCAACGCGTGGCAGGACTCTCAGCCGGCGCCTGAAGCCGCTCTCCGGGCAGGTCAGGTAAGACGCAGGTGAGACAGCGCGGGGCACGAGGGGACCCTGGGACGGGGGGCGTGGTGTGGCGAGCCGGGGCCTGGGCCTTGGGTGCCCCGTGACAGCCAGAGGGGCCTGAGGGGTACCAGGAACTGGGGGCGTAGGAGGGGCCTGGAAGCGTGGGAGGGGGCCCAGCTGCAAGATGCGGTGGGTTCGGAGGTGGGGCCAGGAAGGGGACCCGGGGGCGTGGGAAGCGCCTGAGGGACGTGGAGGGGCCCGGCCGTGGTGGGGTCTACCCCAAGGCCTGCTGCCGCGCTGCGCGCGCTCTCGAGAGCAGCGGAATTTCTGGGCAGCGTCCCCTCCTGTCCGGGCTGCCCGTGGGGCCCTGCAGCGGGGTCAGAGTCGTCCTGTAGCGGCCCGAGCAGATTTCCAGCCCCCAGGAAGGGTCCTCAGAGGTGGTGGCGCCCCGAGGCCTGTCCATTTCTTAGCCAGAAGCGCAACCTGCCCAGAAGGAGCCAGGCTCTCGAAGGCTAGCTGGGACCAGCTGGCCGCTGGTGGGCACCGGGTTGCATACACAGGCGCCGCCCCTTCCCCGTCTGTAGCATATGGACTTTGGCTGGGAGCAGCCCAAACGACCTGGGCCAGGAGCCCCCAGCCCCAAGGTTGGCTGCCTCTCCTCTTGTCAGACAGAGGGGAGCTGAATGTTGCCTTTCTTGGCCCAGTGGGGGTCAGGGTTGGGCCTGCCGGGCAGAGCCTGGCTCTCCCAGCTGGGTGGTAGTCCTAGGGCCCCTGTGCAGCTCTAGACAGAGGACTTCCTGGGGAGCAGGGCTGAGAGGAGGGGATGACTCAGGCTAGATGGGTCTGTCTGGTCCCCAGTGGGCAGTCTCCCTGCGCTGCTGACCTTATACTGTGCCCGTTGCCCCAGGCCAGCCCTTGGAAATCACAGTGGGGCCCAGTGCTAAGGGCAGTGACCCTAGGCTGGGGCATCTCAGGGGAGTGGGGTTCTGTTGCGGGGGAGCGGGATGGCCTCAGCCTCACACCATTTGGCCCTGCAGGTGCAGCCAACATGGGTGAGCCCCAGGGGTCCATGCGGATCCTAGTGACTGGGGGCTCTGGGCTGGTGGGCAGAGCCATCCAGAAGGTGGTAGCAGATGGGGCCAGGCTGCCCGGAGAGGACTGGGTGTTTGTTTCTTCCAAGGATGCTGATCTTACGTGAGTGGGCTCATCCCTGGAGCAGCCCCACCATGCCCTCTCCAGACTGAGAGCTCCGGGCCAGGCCTGTTCCTGGGCCTGGTAGCCTCAGGTCAGGCCCGTCCCTGCCAGGTGGCTGGCCTGGCCTGGGTGTGTGCAGTTTTGCTTCTGGGCAAACTTCCTCCCATCTCTTCCTGGAAGCCCACACCCTCATGCCAGCCAGGGCCTGACCCTCCCACCTTCGGCCCCGCCTGCCTCCTGCCCCCAGTGCTTTCAGCCAGGGTGCTAGTTCCCTTGGGCCTCCAAGCAGCCCCTGATGGCCCGGCTCCCCCTCAGGGATGCTGCACAGACCCGAGCGCTGTTTGAAAAAGTCCGGCCCACACATGTCATCCATCTTGCTGCAATGGTGGGGGGCCTGTTCCGGAATATCAAATACAATTTGGACTTCTGGGTAAGTGAGGGGGCCCCAGTGAGCACTGGGAGCCAGGACCCCGGATTCTGGGAACTTCCTGGCCAACTTCCCAAGCTCCTGTTCCGGCCCAGGGAAGTCCCTGAGGGGCCCCCAGTGACCCACACTTGATTCGTAGGTAGAGGGGCACGCAGGTGGGCCTGGGGGCATTTGGCCGAATAGGAAAAGCCTCAGAGCTAACCTGGGGGTTGGAGGAGCTGAGACAAGCCAGTGTTTGCCTTGTGACCCCCGGCTGGTTCCTGCCCCCTGGGCCTTCGGACCCTCCTGGTTCCAGGAGGTCCAGCTGCACTGAGCCAGGCCCACAGTGCGCTCAGGGGTGCAGAGGTGCGTGAGCTGGGCTCTGGGCCTGCAGCATGTGCCCTGAGGGGTTGCACGTGTGGGGCAGGGGCAGGAGGAGAGCTGGGCTCGCCCACAGCCCTGCCCCTGCCTGGCTGGGCCTCTGAGGGCTGGCCCATCATCTCTAAAATTGGCCTTGGCCTGGTTTGGCCCTGCATCGGGCCTGGGATGGCAGAAGCTTAGACCAGATTTTCCCTGGGGGCCCCTGTCGCCACAGGGCCCTCCTCGTCTCAGTGACAGCCTTCGCAGCAGGCTGCCCGGCCACCACCTCTCCCCAGACCACCCAAATGCCCTGGCCAGCTGAAGTCCCCGGAAGGGGCTGGAGGAGGGGTGTGGCCAGCCAAGGCTTCACTGCTACTGAGCAGTAGAGCAGGGTGAGCTCCTGGGGGTGCGGGAGTGGAGCCCCCTGGGCTCCTGGCTCGCACCTCACCTGCCTAGCCCGCAGCAGCCCCTGTGGGCAGGCTCAGCCCTGAGCTTAGGGGTGTGGCCCTCTCCTCAGGGCCCGCCCCCAGCCTCAGAGTAGGCAGGCCTGGACCCTCCTACAGCCCTGGGGGTGGGACTAACAGGCTGGGAGGGGGCCATGGTTTCTGGACAGTGGGTCCTGGGAGCTGGTAGAACCGCTGGCCCAGGTACTGCCTGCCAGGTGTGTCCGCACTTCTGTCCCTGGAGGGGCAGGTAAGGGCTGGCATCCTGCCTGGGGCCTGAACCCTGCCCTGCCCCCTCAGCGGAAAAACATACACATCAACGACAACGTGCTGCACTCGGCCTTCGAGGTGGGGGCGCGAAAGGTGGTCTCCTGCCTGTCTACCTGCATCTTCCCCGACAAGACCAGCTACCCTATCGATGAGACCATGGTGAGGGGCGGGGCTGGGGCGGGGCCTGGCCTGGGGGCAGGGCTGAGAAGCAGCGGCTCCTCTGCTCCCCCAGATTCACAACGGACCCCCGCACAGCAGCAATTTTGGCTACTCTTACGCCAAGAGGATGATCGACGTGCAGAACAGGTCCTCTTCCCGCGCGTGCCAGGCTGAAGCCAGCCAAGAACGGGGAAGGGGGCCCCAGACGCCCTGTGGTGGGTGGGCCCAGGGGGCCGCCCTGGCAGGGCGCTCAGATCTCGGCTCCCCTCCTTGCTAGCCTCGGCTGGGGTGGGGCTCGCCCGTGATCCGAGGATGAGGGCCAGAGGGGATGCTGTGCCCCGCAGGGCCTACTTCCAGCAGCACGGCTGCACCTTCACCGCTGTCATCCCCACCAATGTCTTCGGGCCCCATGACAACTTCAGCATCGAGGATGGCCACGTGCTGCCTGGCCTCATCCACAAGGTGCATCTGGCCAAGAGTGAGTGACCGCCACCCATGGCACAGCTGTGTGCTTGCTTGATGGGGCCCCTGGGGCACAGCGGGGAGGAGGGGCGGTGCTGGCACGTCCCCTCTGACCCCTGCCCTCCCCACCCTGCAGGTCGCGGCTCAGCCTTGACAGTGTGGGGCACAGGGAGGCCTCGGAGGCAGTTCATCTACTCACTGGTTGGTGCCGCGAGGGGCACAGCTGTTCCCCAGAACGTCTCCTGGAGCTGCCGTGCTGGCTGTGGGGAGGCATGAGGGAGCCTAGGAAGGGCCGGGTGTCCAGGCTGAGCCCCCAGGGGAGCAGTCACTGGTTCTTGCTGGGTCCGTGTACGTTCCATTCCCCAGGGACGTTGCTGGGTACAGCTCTGAGCTCATCAGGAGAAAGGACTTGGGGCTGAGCTGGCCAAGCACTGCCCAAAGGGGGTACCCCGGGCCCCAGCCAAGCCTGGGCTGCACCCCGCCAAGCAGGATCACTTGGGAGAGGTGACCTGGGCCCGTTTGGCCGTAATTTGTGGCCTTTGACCCTGGCTGTCTGACCTCCAGGACCTGGCCCGGCTCTTTATCTGGGTCCTGCGGGAGTACGATGAGGTGGAGCCCATCATCCTGTCAGGTGGGTGCCCTGCAGTCCCACCCCCATTGCAGTGGGGCAGGACACCCGTCTGTCCTGAGAGCCGCTGAGCAGGGCAGCGGGAACGTCTGTGGGGCTGGGCGGCAGCGGGTCCAGGCAGAGGAGGCCTGACCTGGCCACTGGCCCCTCGGTCCCCACAGTGGGTGAGGAGGATGAGGTGTCCATCCAGGAGGTGGCTGAGGCCGTGGTGGAGGCCATGGACTTCCATGGGGAGGTCACCGTATCCTTTCGTTCTAGGCAGGAGACCGTGGGCCTCCCTGCAGGAGGCCGTGGGTGTGACGCACCCATGGCACTCACCCTGGCAGCCGGGGGGGAGGGTGTCTGCTGCTTTCTCCTGGAGGCTCCCCCTGGGAAGGCTAGACAAGCTTCAAGGGCAGGCTGGTGGAAGGGTGGGCTGCCCCTTCTGCTGTGCCCTTGACCAGGTGCCTAGTTTGATACAACCAAGTCGGATGGGCAGTTTAAGAAGACGGCGAGTAATGGCAAGCTGCGGGCCTACCTGCCCGACTTCCGGTTCACGCCCTTCAAGCAGGGTGAGCCCTCCCACCCCATCCCTCAGGACCGCCCGGCCCCTCCCCAGGCCTCAGCTTCCCTACTGCCAGTTGGGGGTGGACGCCCTGCAGCTTTGGCCTCCACACCCTCACCGTGGAGGCAGGACACGGGGTGACTGCCCTACGTCCCTGGGCCTCACCCGCCCGCCTCTGCAGCCGTGCAGGAGACCTGTGCCTGGTTCACTGACAACTACGAGCAGGCCCGGAAGTGAAGTGTGCGGCGGGAGCGGGTGCCGCCCTCTCCCCGGCGCTCAGCCAGCAGAGCCCAGCGGCAGCCACTCAGAACCTGCCGGGGCTGAGGGCACTGCCCTCGTGGCGGCCGGCCCCTGCCCCACGCCCTCTGCCGGGGCAGACCTGGCTGACTCTCCGGTGAGGCCACCGTTCACACCGTCCTCAGGGAAGCCAAGGCCTGGCCAGGCCCAGCACCCTGCTCCCCGACGCCAGTCGCAGAGCATGTACACTTCTGATCCCTGGGAGCCAATAAAGTGCGTTTCCACAGGCCTGGCCCCGGCAGCTCTGTATCAGCCCCCCATATCCCCCACCCCAGCACTGCCTCCTGAGCCTGGCCAGCCCCCAAGAGCTGCTGGGCCATGGTGGCCAACTGTCCCTGGGGTAGAAGGGCAGCAGTGGCCGGAGACACGGAGAGGTGGGTGTGTGGGCAGGTGGCAGGAGAGGCTGGACTGTCAGCCGGCGGGGACAAAGGGCAGGCACCTGCGGCAGTCCCCACTGGCTGCAGGGAGAGCCGAGCCTCTCCACGCACAGCCAGGTGCAGGCCTGGGTAACCTGCACTCCCCGGGCTTACCACCCCCCCCATCCCCAGGACTTTGGGGAAAGAGGCTGGGTCTGGATTTGGACAGGCTGAGCAGGCACACAGATGGATCTGAGGAGAGCAGTGGCGATTGGCCAGGTCAGGCCTGGCCCCTCATCTCCCTAGCCCTCAGGTAGCAGCTTGGGTGCTGGGGCTTGGCCTGCCCTTCTCCCATGGGCAGCAATAGGTGTCACGCAAGAGTGGGCCTGGTGGGCACGGCGGTGAGCGGCACAGGCCTCCCATCCTCAACAGGAAAGTCTGGACCGGTTGGCCCACCGGCCCCCGCCTAGCCAGTCAGTGCCGGGTGTGCTTCCCCCAGGACCCAGGCACCTTCCCTGGCTCCGGGGCCCACCTCCCCTGGGGTACCCTTTGCTGTCTTCACACCAGTGACTCCCAGCTCTCTTCTGGCCCCAGGTGTGCCTGCCACGTTCCTTACTTGCTTTGTTCATTCAGGCGCTATGGGCTGCCTTCCCTGTGCCAGCCACGCAAGCCCCACCCTCCGTCCCGTGTCCAGGTGATCCCTCACTGCGTTTGTTACCACCACCCCGGCCCACGGGCCTCTCCAGGGGCCAGTCCTGCCCCTCTCACATCAGTGCCTCCCCACCTCTTAGGTCTCTGCTGACTGAGGCCCACCCCACCTGCGTGCTTCTCTGGAAACAACACCTCCCCTCCCCCACCCCCCAGGGCTTGGAGCTCCAGGACCTGGTCAGCCCTTCATGCTGTATCTCCTGGGTGCCAGCCCTTTGTGAATCTGAAGGGTCTGCCCCTGTGGGCGTTCAGGGAGAGGGGGAGGGGTGGTCCCTGAGTGGGAGCTCGGATCAGCCAAGTGAGAATGGGGGGAAGGAGGCCCTGCGCCGGGCAGAGAGGCCTGGACGTGCCTGGCCTCAAGTAGTGGTTGTGTGTCCTGACTTGTCCCTTGGGTTATGGGGTGTGTGTTTATCGTAGAGGGGCTGTCTCTCCAGCCAGAATGCAAGTCTGCGGGGTGGGGGTTTGTGCACTCCACTGCTGTGTGCCCTTCGTTCCCAGCCCAGAGCAGGGCCCCCACGCTGAAGGGGCAGCGTTGAAGGAATGAAGGGATCTCATTGTTGAAGAGCTCTGAACGTGTCAAAGTAGAGTTTAAAGAAAATAACATCTTTAAAATTCAGTCTTAAAAACTGCAATCTTAGTTCTTCAACCTTGTTTTTCCCATGTCAATCAAAAATTACAAGCACAGCCCACACCCACACCCACCCTCCCCCTCTCAGTCTCTAAGGTGGGCCCTGGCCCTGGCGAAGCACTCCATCTCCCACAGAACCAGCAAGAGGGGCCAGGTCTCCGCTGGGGACCTAGGCCTCATGAAGGTCTCCCCTGCAGCTCCCTGAGAGGCCCTCAGAAACCAGAATCCAGGCTGGCCTGAGGACCTCCTTTAACAGAAAAGCAGACCCCTGCTCCCACGTTTCACTGGCTGTGCCAATTTTATGCTGTCACCCAGACCCACTGCGGCTTGGGGAAGAGCTGACCACAGGCCCTGACCAGGCCACCCTGTCCGCCACACCCAGGTCCACTGGCAGGCTCCGAGCGGCCTGAGGCGCCCACCTCTGGGACAAGACCAGGGGAGCCCCCACCCTTTCCTGCCCTTCGCCTTTAAGTGAGCAGCTCAAGTTGCCCTTTGGGAAATTTCACACATCGGGACAGAAGCCAACACAGTATCGTGGCCGCCCGCCCGGCGCCCCGCGCCGCGGCCCACCCCTCCTCGCCCTACATCTCTCCGGCCAATGAGCTGCGAAGGGGTGAGCCCAATTGCTAGCGATCGATAGAGCGTGGAGCCCGCGGGAGGGGGCGGAGCGTGAGGTCTCGGCAGCCAATGGACGAGGGCAGGTGCTGGGCGGTGTAGCCCATTGGCGGCGCTGAGGGCGCGGGCGGGGCGCGGCGCGGGGCGGTGGCGAGATGGCGGCGGCGGTTGCGGCGGAGTCTGGCCCGAGGCGCGTGGGCTTCGTGGGCGCCGGCCGCATGGCGGAGGCCATCGCGCAGGGCCTCATCCAAGCAGGTGGGGCGCGTGGGGTCCCGGGCCCGCGGGCTAGAGGGCGTCCGACACCGGCCTGTTTGGGAGGGACGGGCTTACCTCTCCGTAGCTCACCTGCCCCGCGGAGCCCCGGGCAGCACGGGGCCCTCCGCGCAGGGGCCCCAGGGTGGGGCTGGCCGGCGGGCGTGGGCCAGGGCCGCGCGCGGACCCTGTGCCTCCGGTCTCTGCTTCCTCTGGGAGCGCGGCTGGAGGGGATGTGGAGAGGCTCAGCGCCGGCCGTCCCCACGTCCGAGTTGAGATGTGCTGTGAGTGCACAGAATAAAATATACGCCGAATTTGGAAGATTTATCATCCAAACAAAAAATAACGTATCTTAGTAACTTTTAATATTGATTAGGTGTTGGAAGGGTGACATTTTGGCTGCCTTGAGTTAAATAAAATGTACTACAATTCACCCGTTTCTTCCTACTTGTTTAATAAGACTACTAGAAAATGGGAAGTTACGTGTGTGGCTCGAGCGATACTTCTCTTGGACAGCCCTAGCTTAGAGCGCGGGATCTCCTGCCGACGTCCTAACCTCGTGCCTCGGTCGAGCTGCCTGACCGCTCTGAGCCTCCGACTCTTCTTTCTGTTTGTTCGCCGGCTGCACCCCTGGTGTCCGGCACTGTGCACATTTGGGGCCACATCATTCTCCATTCTTCACATTGTAGGCTCTTTAGCCCCTTGCCTGGCTTCTCCCCACTAGGTGTTAGTGACACCCCCAGTTGTGACAGCCAAAATGTCTCCAGACACTGTCAGTGTCCCCGGGGGGGGGGGGCAAAATCATCCTCGGTCGAGCACCACTTATAGCAGGGATGGAGGTTCCACAGTATTTAGAAACCTTTATATGTAGATATGGACTGGTTTTCTGCCTTCAGCCATATGTCAAGGTCTAGAAAGGTCAAAATCATCAGAAAACAGTTTACTGCAAGTCTCAGGTGTTTTAAACCTGTAAAACCTGGAGTATCACCTGCCTCCCCTGCTGCACGGAGTCTCACGGTGCTGCCACCGTCTCTTGAGGCCCTGGGGTGCACTTCTGCCTTCCTGCTAGACTTTACAGAAATCTGATCTGTAGAGGATTTCTACCAAACGGGCACTGAGCCTCTGCTTGGATGTCCCCGTACAGATGCACCCCCCTCCGGAGGAAGCTCATCCCCCACCCCAGCCTCCCTACCCACCATGCCTCCTCCCCAGCCTAACCGTTCCCGGAGGCAGGGGTCCCTGGGATCTGTGTCCTCACGAGACAAGGCAAGCTCCCGGCCCCTGTGTCCGGCAGGGCGTCTGGCCTCAGCAGCAGCAGCAGGTGGGCAGCGATGACTGCTGAGTAGAATCAAGTGAAGCTGGTTGCCTGGTCCCAGCCGAGTGGAGCGGCCCCGCCAAGCACCTGGCTTCTTGGAGAGGCTCCGCGTGGCCCAGGTGTGGCTGAGACCTGCTGTAAGGGGCCTGCCAGGCTGGCTTCTCCCCGCGCCACATCCTCACTGACACCCCCTACCCGCCTTTGCCTTTCCTTCCAGGAAAAGTGGAAGCTCAGCACGTGCTGGCCAGCGCACCGACGGACAGGAACCTCTGCCGCTTCCGGGTGAGCCGGGCAGCTCCTCTGAGTGGAGGCTTCCCAGGGCTCAGATGGCTCTTGGCTCCTTGGGGCCAGGGAAGTGCTGCTTACTTAGCTAAAGTTTTGAGACGGGCCGGGCTGGGCTGGGGAAGGGGAGGTCAAAGGCCAGAAGGAAAGTCAAGGTTGTGGGGGGCCCGGGTGGGGTAAAGGGGTGTGCGTGTGCGTGTGCGTGTGCATGCTGGACGGGCGGGAATGTCACGGGCACTCACTGGGATCAGAGGGCTCGAGGAGGTGCTGACACCAGGGCCATCTGAGGTTGGATCCTGAGCGAGAACGGGTGGTCTGGGCGCGTCATGGGCATTAGTTTAGGGCCGTTTGCAATGGGGGGCCCGTGGGATTGCAGGGTGGGCTCCGGCAGGGAGGGCCGTGGTCTGGGAGGATGCCCGCTGACGTGGGCCTGGTCCCGGCAACCCTGCTGCAGGCCCTGGGCTGCCAGACCAGCCACTCCAACCGGGAGGTGCTGCAGAGCTGCTCGCTCGTCTTCTTTGCCACCAAGCCCCACATCCTGCCGGCTGTCCTGGTGGAGGTGGCTCCTGTGGTCACCGCTGAGCACATCTTGGTGTCTGTGGCTGCTGGGGTCTCCCTGAGCACCCTGGAGGAGGTGAGTGGCCTGTCGGGGTGCAGTGGGGGCTGAGGCTCTGACCCCAGGGTGGGCTCTGCTGGCCTCCCACCCCTGCCATCCCAGCCCGGCTGCAGCCTGGGTCCAGCCCTTCCAGAAACCAGGATGGGTGGGTTGGGGGACAGACAGCCTCTCAGCTGGCCTGCACAGGCGGCCAGGTGGCTAGGGGGCTGGGGTTAGGGCTCCTCCCACCTGGGGTTAGGGCGCCACGCCCGGGAAGTAGCGGGGAGCCTGCTCTGGCCCGGCGTGTGCCTGCCCGGCAGCCTGATCCCACAGCCGCCCTGATCGCAGCCTCTCTCCCGCCAGCTGCTGCCCCCGATGGCGCGAGTGCTGCGGGTCTCGCCCAACCTGCCCTGCGTGGTCCAGGAGGGGGCCATGGTGATGGCACGGGGCCGCCATGCTGGCAGTGGCGAGGCCGGG